GAATTATTAGAAAAAATAGGAACTAATATATGCAATCTTGCTTTATTTGTTAATATGCTTATGAAGCTTATTTTTAATATTAATGATACTTAGCATATGATGGACATAGCCAACCTCCATATATTTTAATCTAAGACATTGCTAGGAAACAACATCCTCCATTAGCAGATTACATCAATTCACTTTCATGAAATTACAATCTCACATTTTGAAGACATACAAACCAAACGGCAAATTATAGATTCCTGCTAAACAGAAGATCAAACCACAATCGAAGACATTTGAATGATAGCATGAATTTTAAGAAACTTGCCCCTCAAATTATAGAAAACTATTGGATATAAACTCTATAGAATAGTTCAATGAGCTCAAGGGGAGTTGATGGGAAACATTAAGATGATCAAAATAATCAAGCTAAAAAAGGATTACGTATAAGTTTCCGCGCAAAAGCCCAAGCATATATCAAGACGCTTAAAATAGGAGATGCTAAATTATAAAAGCCTATGCAAGAGCCAAAACAAGAAGAAAATTTTATATTTTAAAATGTAAAAATTATATTTTATATTTTATAAATTTTGCACGTTTATTTTACTTTGGGACAAGGAATTAGCAACATAATATTTTTTTAAAATAGTGGAAGATTTAATGAATACACTTAGCACCTTACAACTCATTTCTCTCAAAAGATTTTGCTCCTTAATTTACGTAATGCTAGCTTAAGCGACATTATAAATTTTTTATATGGTGCGGATATGTATTAAAAACTTTTAGATTTGAATGACTTAAAAACTTAGGAAAAAATTTTCCTTTTGTTGGGTTGAGTGACCTTCTTTGATAGGAAACACCATTTATATCTTAATGCTTGCTATTCTTTTATAAACATATTTATATTTCCCTATATCTTAGCCCATCTCCTAAGATAAGCCAATATCACCCAAAGTCATCAAAATACTTTTTTATCCCTTCTTAAGGCTCTTGGCTGTGATTAATCTACTATCATCTAATCTTATTCAACTTTCCCTCATAAGTTCTTTAACACTCTCGAAGCCCAACTAAAAGCTCTAAATGATAACTACATATGCTAAGCTACTCTAAACCACCCCAAAACATATTGTCAACCTTGAGATAACAAAAGCCTAATAATTATACTCTCTACATAATATGGCTTCCCATCCCCTTGTCATAAATAAATTAAAAGTTTGTTTGGGACAGTGGCACCACTGCAATGCAAATTCTTGTCGTCCCACTTTCCCGTTTAGCATGGTGTTGGCTTGGATTTCTTTGAGTTATCGTGGTCTGTTTTTAGCATTCCGCAACCGTCCTTTTCCCTCAAAGTTCAGTGGTTTTACTTCCCGTTTTCCCTCTGCCCACAATTTTTTTCTTCAATTTTTCTCCCTTCCATCTTCTTGTTTCTGATTGTTCTTCATTGCAAGTACGTCTTGACTTTCCCGTCTCCCTTCATCTCAATCAGGGAGTGTTCTTCCTTCTTCTGTCTCGTTCGTGTGTGTTTAGCTAGGGTTTATGCAAATCCTGAATTCCCTCTCCTCTGTTGTAAGATTGGTTTATGTTGTGTTGTGATTCGGTCATGACTTTTATGTGAGGTTCTTCTCTGATTTTTTTCATTTTTTTTGGTATGTTGAAATGTGAATTATGATGTGTTTAGGGTTGGAGCTTGTGGAGCTCTCCTCATTTTGTGTTAATTTGAGTGTATTTGATTTTGGTATCAATCTGAGAATCTTTGTTTATTATTATTTTTTGTTTCTTTAGTATGGAAATGTGAGCATTATGAGCTTATGGGACCCTCCTTCTGTATGCGTTCGGGCGTGTGTGGTAGTGGCATCTATATATGAAATTTTTTTGGTAAGTTGAAATGTGAGTTGATGTGTTCGGATGTGTTTGTTTATGACATCTATGTGAGGAATTCTGATTTCTTTGAGGCTCTCCTACTTGTGTGTGTGTTGGTTATGGTATTTATGTGAGAAATTGTAGTTTCTTCGGTTTATTTGGTATGCGAAAATGAGATTTGTGAGCATGAGTAGACTTATGAAGCTCTCCAATATGAATTCGGGTGTGTTTGGTTTTCTTTTTTTTATTCAATATGGAAATGTGATACAAGCATTGGGAGCTTATGGGGCTTGATGAGTATAATGATGAACTTATGACTTTTTTTGAACTATTGAAATTTATTTTTGTTGCTTTGTTTGAATTATTATTGAAATTGTTGAATTACATATAAAAAATATACATAAGAGAATTACAATATTTTTCTCATAGAAATAGTTGCAACACAACAAATCATCCAAACATACACAATAACTCACCATCAGCTATTTTCTAACAACAATTGATCCTAAAAGCAGCTTCACAGCTGCTTATTCAATAAGCTGCAATTGCCACAAATGCTCCCTAAGTGTATCAAATCAACACAAAATGACAGAAGCATGGGGCCTTAATCTTGATCACGGTGAATTCTCATTCTCATGCCCGTTTTTTGTTTTTTGCCATATATAAAACTAAATTGCAACCAACGAGCATAATGATTTTCTTTCGCTGGAGTGGTATGAAATCTTGGTCCCTCATATTTATTAAAAATCTCATATGGCTTATTACATGTATAATATATATATATATGAAAACACAAATAATTTGCCTTTGAATATTTTATGTTGCTCAACATTTGATCCTTTGATCCCAAAACAAGTCCAATGGAAGTGTTCACCCTCCAACTTATAATCAATGTTCAAAGCCTATAATGATCTACAAAATTCTTGCCATTTAAAGATGGTCCAATGTTCCATTATCTTCCTCTATTGAAATATGTTTCCCTAGAACATAAGGACTCAAACCACAAAAAGTGAATGCATAAAGCGTATTACTTCCTAAGTTTCCCTTCATCAAATACAAGTTCAAACCTTTTTTCAATATAATAATATAAACACATTCAACATAGAAAATACAATACTATATCATCATTATCAAAACCTTAACCCAACCATATTAGAAATGATTTCTAAGTCAATGTTTTTTATTAGCCTACTCTTCGCAAATCAATTAGAAAAAACTTCTATCCACTTTACTGGGGTTTATTATTTCCATCAATTATTGTATATCACAAATTTTATCTATAAATCTAATGGGTATTCATCAATCTTTCATTGTAAATATCCAAACCAATTAAGTATTATTTCAACCGCCTTGTTTTTAATAGGTGTCATTCCAACAAATCCTCTATTATAATAATTCTTTAATATACTCTTACTTTATTACACATGTAAATAAATAGTGTGGGATGTTTAAAAAGGATATACCTATGTTAGCATGAATAAAATTGCTAAAAAAGATCAATATTAGGTTTAAACCACAAGCAACACTCAACATGAATAAAAAGGATTCATAAAGCCACCCTCAGATAATTAATTATAAGGTTAGTGATGATGATGCAAATGAAAATATATTCTTCAAAGAATAAAAGGACATTCATTTTCATTCTCATCATAAAACTTGTACAAAATACATGAGATTGGCTATAGAAGTCTTCCTTCACCATCATTTGGTAGGCATGTCATATGGTCTTAATTCTAGTGTGTGTGTGTGTGTGTGTGTGTGTGAACATTAACTATATTAAGCTAATATAATTGTTTTATCTATTTCTTTGACATTAAGTATATTACACTATTTGTTGGTGCATATTCTAATTTTCATTGCACTTTCTTATATTAACCTTCTCTAGCTTTTCTATAATATTTTCAATAGGCAATACTCCCAAAATCTCAAATAATAATCATTTTGATTAGCATCCTTACTAATTTTAACATATCTACCACAAATTTCACAGTTTAGGCCACTTTCTTTGGTTCTTAATGATTAATTTGTTATTCAAAAACTCAAATCAATATGATACACTGAGTCTCATTGTAATTTTGTACCCTGGAGTCTGTTTATTCGCCATATAACAGCTTAAGACACCTTTCATTTGAAAACAATTTCACTTCTAGTCTAGTTGCTACACCAAAGCTATATCCCAAATAATATAAATAATAGATCCAATATATCTAATTTATCACAACCAATTATTACTTAATCATCAATCACAATTCTCCATTGCCTTTTCCATCCAATAAATCTTCATAGCACTTTCTCGGTGCTTCAACTAATCATCACCCTTTACTTTCATAGGCTTAAAAAATGTACTAAAAATTGAGTACATATTGAGGCAACCCTTGGTTATCCTACCTCAATACTCATTTCTTCTTTCTTTGATAATGTTTGGTAGATTTATAGAGAAACAAACCAGAATACCATGCTTCAAGTAAAAAAAATAACCATGCTTGTGCTTTGCAAGATAAAGTAATATAAAAAAAACGATGATTATACTAAATGAAATGCCTTTTAAGAAAGGAAATTGATTAGCTTTTTTTAGTAATCATTATATCAATCCCATTCTCTAGCAATCATTTCATCTTAATACAAAAGAACACGTGCAATTACTTCCACCTCCTTGAGATGTCCAGTAGTAAATCCTCCAATTTGAAGAAATTAGGTTCTTTGGAAATATTTTCTCAAAATATTTTGTTGCCTTTAACTGACATGGGTGTCCTATAGTTGTTCTTTTTTTTCCCTCTCAATTCTACGCACTTCTTCGGATGTACAATAGTTGAGCCTACGTGTCAAAACTAAGAAACCTGGATCAGCAAATAGAAAATAATGCATTCTGTGCTTTACACTACCCTATGCAGTTGCTGCAACTAAAGAGGAGGTTGATGTGCATTGCTTTCTTCCATAAAAGTGATGAGATCATTCCCAAGTTCAGAACCCATGACCTCCAATTCATAACAATGCATGCTTAGCTCTCCGCTAAAACCAGCCTAAGAAACTAGTAGAGAATCTAATTCTGCATTTTACATCAATAAGTCGATCATCTAGAAGCTTTAAATCTGCTTCACTATCTGCTTGTAGCCCCAACAATTAAAATTAGTGGGTAGAGGACGCGAGCAGCTTACCTTAATAGGGATGTCAAGGAATAGAAAGTGCAGAAGCCCCCTGATCTCTGTAACAGTATCAAAAGGGATCGATCGTCTGGCAAGATCTTCAACCAAGTAAAATATATCATGCAGCACCTCGATCCCATCGAGCTGGAGCTCAGCATCCACATAAGACGCCCCGCGCGCCCTCACGTGTCCCCCAGCCGCCAGAACCGACCCAAGCCGCTGCCCGCGGTAACCAATAGCAACGTCTAGGGCATCATAGTCCAGCGAGAAGAAGTCCGGGTTGCGAATGCTGATCCGGAGGTGGAGATCTATGGACATTGAGACTGAAGGGTGGAGGGAAACGTGGACGCGATCAATGCTGACGCGAGCGACGCTAAGATGGGGATCGGAGGGCCAGAGGAGAAAAAAGGCCGCGCCGACGAGGAATAAAGCTGCTGCGGCGGAGAGAAGGGAGGAGGGATAGATCAGTGAGGAGCAGCCGCAGCGGCAGATGGAAGTTTGGATACTGCCTTCAAAGAGGAAAGGAAAGCACCGCCGCCGAAGCGGCGGCGGGGGGGGGGGGGGGGGGGAGGAGGAATGAGAGGATCGACAGCTGCTTGATCCGGCTTCTCCATGGATCACAGATCTGTGGAATTTGGTGTCTTTCTAGTTAACATATAGGAAAGAGTTTCGGTTTGGTGGTCGCCATTATCTCTTTGCTCCGTCGCTTTTGTGCCATCGCTGACAATTTCTGAAGCTCTGCGAATCCATCGAGGAAGTAAGGAGAAAAATTAAAAAGAGAGGGAAAGTTGACGAGAGCTTTTGTTGTGTCGAGCGACCAAGTTGGTGGTCTTTGAAAAAAAACAAGAACACCCACTCAAAACTCTTTAATTTATATTTTTAACACTAAAACTTTAATAAGGGCATTTACATATTTACCACACAATTCTTATATATTTACATATATAGCACTTAAATTTTATTTTTATTATATTTATACCACCTAAATCATTCATACCACATCAAATGTACATGATTTTAGCTTTTAAAAGGTGAAACATATCTTTTCATATATGGAGAAGGCAACATACAGGTAAAAATTAAAATGTAGGTGCTAGATATATAAATACATAAAAATTGAGTAGTATGTATGTAAATATTCCATTTCATTATTTATAAAAAAATAAGAATAATTACATGCATAGCACCCCAAAATATTGCCACTTTTAGAATATAACACTAAATTTGATATTTTTGAACTACGAAATTAGTGATGTATTTACGAGTGTCACTATAAAATCATTTAGAATTTGATAAAAATAAAAAATATGGGTTCGGGTTTTATAATCAATTTTGATATTTGAGCGAGAATTTGAAAAAAGAAAGAAAGATGATGCTAGATTTGTAAATAGCAATCTTCTGGGTGCTATGTATGTAATTGGCCCAACAAAATAACATTTATTTAATCTTTAGTTGAAGAAATCACTCTTAAGGTAAGAAGAATAAAGAAGGGAAAAAAGAGAGGAAGAGGGCCAAAGTAGAAGCTATGACGCTCAAGGTTATGGCCTATGAGAGCTGTGCGAATGGAAGAATTCTACTTCCACGTTGATTGATGTGTTTGGGCAACAAAAGTAAAAAAGATAATCTTTTGATTGTAAAGCATTTATTTTGTGTTTGAAAATATTTTCTTACCCTTCGGGATCGTTTTCATTTCTTCTTCTAGGGTTTTGGGTTAGGGTTCCTTCTTTCTCGTCACCAACGATACTTGGTGCTACAAACTGACAGGCAGGGCTTTTCAAATCTTCGTATATTTCGATTACACATCTTTACTCTTCAAACAACAAAAATTTTAAGCTTTGGTTTTATCGCAATGAAAGAAGTCATCTTCTTCTTACACAGTCTTTGATCGCAGCAATGAAAAATACATTTATTCAAATTTACCAATTAAATTGTCATCTTCTATATCCTTCTCCCCGGGTTCTTTTGGTTATTTAGAAAATTTTCAAATACAACATGAATGTGCTCAAGGTTTTCTCTAATGTAAACATGTTGCACATTTAATTCATTAAATAAATAAGTCGTGTCAGATACTTTTTTATGTCTTTTAGAATAAGCAATATTGTGAAACATGAAGAAAAAATGTATTTTTTTTTATTTTTTGTTTTGTTTTTTTTTTTAAGTACAACCAGAAAATAATATTTTAGAGCAGGATTTGATGTCTATTTAGTCTCATGCTTGATTTTTCTTAAGTACAATCATATTGTATTCATATTTTTTTAGCATAAAATAATGGTCTGAAACATAATTTGATATTTTTAGCCTTATGTTTGATTTTTTTCAGTACAATCATGATATACTCATGTTTTGTTGATATAAAATAATGTTTTGAAGTCAGATTTGATGTTTGATTGGTTTCTTGTCAGATTTCATGTTTTGTTAATGTTAAATAATGTTGTGAAGAAGGATTTGATGTTTGTTTGATCTCTTGTTTGATTTATTTGTTAAGTACAACCATGTTGTCTCACATTTTTTTAGCATAAAATAATGTTCTGAAATAATATTTGATGTTTGTTTAGACTCTTATTTGATTTTTGTTCAGCACAATCATGCTACACTCGTGTTTTTTTAGTATAGAATCATGTTTTTTTGGTATAGAATAATGTTTTGAAGCATGATTTGATGTTGTTTGGCCTCATATTTTTTTAGTATTAAAATAATTTTCACAAGTATGATAGGATATTTATTTGGTTTTTTGTTTGATTTTTTGCTCAGTACAACCATGTTATACTCGTGTTTTTTGTGTTAATTAATGTTTTGAAGTATGATTAGATGATTGTTTGTCCTCATGTTTGATTTTGTTGGTACGACCATGTTGCACTCATATTTTTTAGTATTAATTAAAGTTCTGAAGCAGAATTAGACGTTTGTTTGACCTTCTGTTTGATTTTTTTCTTCAGCACAATTGATGCGTGCAAAAATCTGCGGCGGTAGAGCAACAGATTATTGTCTTAGCGTTGTACGAGAATTCAACATACACATAGATAAAAGAGAAACAAGTAGTGGCAACTCCAGAAACTTTCACGTGGAAAACCCGGAAAGGAAAAAAATCACGGGGTCTGGCCCAATTGCGAAAATTCACTATTGATTGATGATTACAGATACCACTTGTCCCAGAGACGGGAAATGGTTATTAGCTTCCCAAGTTATAACGTAGACTGACTCTATCTAGTCAACGGTGGTCGACGAAGGTCGGCAGTGATTAACTGCAATTGATGACGGTCGACCGATGTCAGCAGTAATCAACGGTGGTCGACGGAGGCTGGTGGTGGTCGCCGACGGTCGGTTGTGATCAACAGAGCCGACGGTGGTAGATAAGGTCGGCGGTGGTCGTCGACAAATGGCGATGGTCTATGAATGTCGATGGTGACAAGAATGATTTTGGACTTAAACTTCTTCTCAAAGCCTCAAGTTCTCTCTCAAGTCTTCCCTCTCATGTGAGGGTGTGACTATATTTATAATGTTCTGGGTGCAACTAATGCAGGAATATAAACAATTTTGATCGAACGGTCAGGAGAGCTTCCTTCGATCGAATGACGTTTGATGGACATTTGAGTACCTTAATGATGTTGGAATTGAGCAATCTTGGTCTCGTTGGATTTTTCTTGTCAAGACGCTCGATTCGACTATAAACACATTGAATTCGACGTTCGTTTGATAGCTCAAATATGTCCGGAAATCTTCCAATAATGATTTAATCACTTGAAGTCCGATTTTACTTGTGGTGACAAGAATGATTTTGGATCGAATGACGTTTGAAGATTTTAACGATATCAAAATTAAGCAACATTGGGCTCGTTTGATTCGTGTTGTCGAATTGCTTAATTCTCTTAAAAAAATAGTCGGATTTTACATTTATTTGACATTCTAAATATGTCCGGAAAGCTTCCAAATGTGGTTTAATGACTTGATCTAACTTGGATTTGATCAATTTTGGTATCATTAAGTCCACTGCAAATTTATTTGACTTGAGATTCGTGTGACATATGAATTGCCTCTCTTTTTTCGAGTGTGTTAACTTTGTCGCTCGAAAATATCAAAATTTTGCACGCTAAAAAATATAACGATTGCAAATAGGGGTCGCCAGTAATCGGGGGGTAGTAACGATAGGAAGTGATAGACTTCGGTGGTAAAAGAGGGTTGGTGTGTAGTGGTTGACTGTGATCCGTGACTAAAGAGCTTGGTAGTTATTTATTAGGTTTTCAATACAAGTGTTAGACACAATAATCATTTTTAGAAGCAATTGTTGTAAACACCACCGCTGACCGTCGTTGATTAAATCAAGTCAAATCAGGCTTAAATCAAGTCATTAATCCATTAATAGAAGATTCCATGACACATTTGGAAGGTTAAACAAATGTCGACACTAGTAAACCTATACTTGAATCGAGCATCTCGACAAGACGAATCCAACGAGCTCAAGATCACTCAATTTCGACATCTTTAAGGCCATCAAATGCCCCCTTAAACGTTGTTTGATTAAGGGAAGCACTTTGGACCGTCCGATCAAAATGACAACATTAATTGCACCCAAAATACTATAAATAGACCCCAACCCTCACATGAGGGGGGGGGGGGGGGGGGGGAGAGCCGGAGGGAGCCGAGACATTGAGGAGAAGCTGCAGCTTAGCACCACCGCTGACCGTCGTTGACCACCGCTGACCTCTGTTGCTCATCGCCGACGGTTGATTTCAATCGTCGACCATCACCGACCTTTGTTGACCTCCGGTAACCGTTGTAGACCCCCGTTAACCACCATCGATCACCACCAACTAACCACCGTCAGTCGACGTTGTAATCTGAAAAATATATTTTCTCTTTCCCGTCTGTGGGACAAGAGATTTATGTAATCATCAATAAATAGTGAATTTCTACAACTGGGTCAGATCCTGTAGTTTTTCCCTTGCGGATTTTTCACGTAAAAACTTCTGAAGTCTTCATAAATTGTTTTCTCTTTAATCTGTGTGTGCTGCTGAATTTTATTACGTTGTTAAGACGATAATTCACTATTCTACAACTGTGAATTTTCTAGCATGCATCAATCCCAAATTTACATTTAACTAAATGAAAATTTTTATAAATGTTATTTTAAAAAGAAGTTTTAATTTAAAATAAAAAAAAAACAACATATCATTGTAATTTAACAATATTTATGAGTTGTCATCGATGATATCGATGAGTGGACCGAATGACACCCGCATAGAGACATACTGATTGCCAAATTGGCGATCCTCGTGCACCTTAAAAGTGAATCCTCACCCTTTAGGAACCCAATTGAACGCTCCATATTTACTTCCGCTCAATCCCCAAAATTTTTAACTTGAACCAGCAGCTGCCCGCCTCAACCCCATCACTACAAATGGCCTTCACGCGCTCTGCAACAATGTCACCCAACTCTACTTGATCTACAAGAAAACCCTAATCCTAAATTTTCACACCAGAATGTTAATCGTTTCTTCAGCTCCTTTTCAAAACTTAAAGCTCTTCCTCAAGCCCCAAGCTATCTCTCCCCGACTACAATTAATAATGAAATTTAAATCACTCTAATTGGACAATTCGAAACACTTCCTTTGATCATATAATGTTTGATAGACATTTGACTGTCTTAATGATGTCAAAATTGAATGTTCTTTGGCTCGCTAGATTAGTCTTGTCGAGATGCACGATTAGACTATAAGCTCGTTGAGTTTGACATCTACTTGAATTTCCAAATATGTCCAAAAAATTTTAAAAAGCCGTTTAATGACTTGATCAAGACTCCATTGGTTCAGATTGGATCAATGTTGGTACATTGTGGTCCGTCTCGTCAAGAGAGTGAGTTTGAGTATAAGTTTATTGAAATCACAACTTCCTGTGACTTTTTTTAAAAGTTTGAACATTTATTGCTTCAAAGATTACTTCAACATTTGTGTCATACCTCAAAATTTGAATCAGACAATGAAAATTAGTTGGAGGCTTATCAACTAACAATGAGAATATTGGTAGTCAAATTTCAATATTTGATCCTGCATTAATTTTATATTTAACGAAGAGAAATTTTTTATAAATGTTATTTTTAAATGAAGTTATAGATTAAAATTTATGAAAAATAATAGTATATTATTAAAATTCAACAATATTTTTGTAAGAAAATAGATGGGCCTTAGTGGCATGTGCTAAGAAATAGTGCTCTTTCGAATCACTTCGTGACTTGCCCAAGGACCGCACAAGGACTCGTCACCTGCACAAACAAAGGGATTGCCAAGCTGGCGAAGGAATGTGCCCTTACCCGGAAGAGAAGGAGTGCCGAAGAAGCAGGAAGGGGCTCTGTGTGCTCGATCACGAACGAAGGAGAAAGGAATGTCGAATCCGGGAAGGGCAAGGGCAAAGGGTTCGATAGCTATACGAGGGCAGCGGAGTAATTCGAAGAGAAGACGCGACAAGGGAACACGGCCCGCGGGGATTATCCCGCGGGTGACCTTGTTCACAGAATAAAAACCGCGATTGCCAACACGCTATTTAAACGTGTTAACGAAACAGTGAGACGAAATTTTCAAAAACGCCGTCGCTGTTTTAAGCTTGCCCAAACAGGCCCTTGGGAATCTTTACAAGATTTGGTATGCAACAAGTATCAAGGTGTTCCTTCACGTAAGCTTATTCTATTTATTCTTATTTTGTATACATGTAAACACGCAATATTGAATGGCATATATAAAAATTTTACATTGGGAATTATGTAGCAATGATCAGCTAATTTAAAAAAAATAAAAAATGAAGAGAAGAAGTATGAGAAGTACAATGCTTTTCTTTAGCTTATGCTATTTATTCTTATTTTCAGTTCGAGCTTCTTTTTTTTTATTATGGGAAGAATCTATAATTGTAGCTGCTTTTGATTTGAGAAAGTTTGGAAAAATCTGAGAGTCATTTAGAAATTTATGAACATTTATAATTTGATCGAGTATTATTCACTTGAAATTATTAAGTCATCCATCTCACTGTTTAGATTATCAATTACAATGTTACTTTTGTATGATTGATAAATGATCAAACATTTCTTGTTGAAATTTAAGTTGAGCAATCTTGTTTTTTTCAATCATATGTTTATGATTAAAAGATAAGTTAAAATTAAATCTTGTGCAAAAGTATCTCTCTCTTTGTAAAAGGATATTAGTCTGTTGAGAAAATAAGGGCGAAGAAAAACAGTAATCGACACAAATCCAGAAGAACACGGAGATTTAACGAGGTTCGGCAAAGATGCCTACGTCCTCGGGAGCAGAGCGGCGAGTTCCTTTCAATATTCAGAAAAGAGTTACAAAATAGATGATACCTCCTGGGGTTATTAACAGACGTATTTATAACCCCAGGAGTAGACCCTAGGTACAATATGTAATTACAACATTACCCATGTACCAAACCGCGGGACTTTGCCCCCGCACCCCAACCCACGTAACTTCCCAACTTGGACAGATTATTCCGTTCCGCTCCGCTCCGCTTCGATCCAGCGTTTGTCCTGATATGATATATGAGCTATATCATAACATAGTCTATCCTTATTTATGTGTGTGTGTGAATATATACAGCGACACATAATTATTCATTTGATATTTGAATTGTTCTCTAACATCATATTTAAATTTATTATATAATATTGTTTGTTATTTCTGGTCTCAACTATGTTCTTTTTTTGTTTTTTCTTCAATTTTAAGGTTCAAGTCTGATGTGGAGCGGTCACCAATCTATCACATTGTCGAAGAGACATTTCCTCTCTGACTCAATATATTCCATAAACTTGTTCAGAACACCAATCCTCCCATTCAATTAGCAGACTTGATCAAGCTTATTTGCAAAGTATTCTGGTCATGAATATATATATATATATACAATCCCCAAAA